CTCCTTTCATGCACACAAAACAGCAACTCCCTGCCCCAACCCCATCCTGTACCCTGATCCCCCAAGTCCTGGATATAGGAGGGGGTCTTCAGCTATCTAGACATCTGCTAGAAAAACAACACAGCAGGACACAGATTATTCAGCAAGTTCTTGGAATGTACTGGAGTATTTTTTTAAATTTCAGGAGATGGAGACAGCTATAGGGGGAGGCTGTTCTATATTTGATTTTAACAGATTGAGGATTTGAAAGTGGAAAGCAGCTTGAGTGAAAGCAATCATGAAATGAAACGAATTCATATTTCTAAGACAGTGGCTCTCAAACTTTTTGGCCTTTGGCCCTCCTGGCTCAATGCAAACTTTTCTGCAGACCTTTCCAGTTGCTAGTGGAAACTCATTCATTAAATAATTATACCAAGCCATTTTGCTAGTGCTGTAGCTAAGGAGAATCGTTTAACTTAACCAGTAAGAAAGGAAACATGAATTTAAATTGTTAAACACATTAAGCATTTTAACTTTCTCATGTTAGTTTATCAAACTTCATTTTAAATAAAAGTAAAATATTAAATTTATGTCCAACAATAAAAGTTTCCATGTTTTCTTTATGACAGGGGTGGTGAACCGTTTTAGGGACAGGGGCCGCTGACCCACAGAAAAATCATTTGGGGATCACACAAGTCAGAAGCAAAAAACCAACCAACCAAACAAACAAACCCTCAAAAAAAAAAACCAACTCTCACTGATGTAACTTTCAGGGTGAAAAAAAAAAACAACTCTCACTGATGTAACTTTCAGGGTGCCCTTTATCCTGTCTTCCCCATGCGGAAGCCCATTCAAATTCTGGGGCAGCCAGTGCAGGCTTTCCGGCTGCTCACAGGACTCAAATTACAAAGAGTGAAACACCACACTCCTCTGGCTCTCCAGCCCCACCAGAGGAGGGGAGGGACAGGGAGGACTGAGGTTCAGGGCTTCCCATAGGACAGATTTACTCTTCTGGGGTCCCAGCGTTAGTGGATTTTCTGGCCTTCCTTAGGTTCTTGGGTGGGGACAAAAATGAGGGGTTAAGTGTATGGGACAGGGCTGCCTGTGAAAGGGATAGGGATGAGGGTTCAGGATCTGGGCAGGAGGTGGGGTGCAGGAGGGGATGAGGGTGCAAGGTCTGGATGGGAGGTAGATGCAGGAGCAGGCTAGAAGCAAGGTGTCTGGCCAAAGGCAGGGTGCAGGAGCAAGGGAGGGGCCAGGAGCAGGCTGAGGATGTGGGGTCTGGGCATAAGGGGAAGGGGGTGCTCAATTACTTTTTTGCCATTGGCCAGATTTCAGCCAATGGGAACAATGGGGAAAACCGCCAGCGACGTGTCTGCATGCTGCTGTTCCCCCAGCTGCAGGAGGGAGCGTGAGAGCAGCATCACGCAAAGCCACTTTCGGCTCCACTTCTTCCCTGTGAGCCAGATTGCACAGCAAGGATTGGGGCTGTCTCCCTCTCCCACCCTCCCATCGTAGTCCACAGTTTGAGAACCGCTGTTCTAAGGAAGGATAAAAAGGAGAACAGCAAAATAAAGACAATGGATTCCAAGAAGGCAGACTTTAGCAAACTCAGGGAGTTGGTAGGTATGATCCCATGGGAAGCAGGAGGAAAAACAATTGAAGATAGTTGGCAGTTTTTCAATGAGACTTATAAAGGGTGCATGAGCAAACTATTCCACTGCATAGGAAAGATAGGAAGTATGACAAGAGTTCACCCTGGCTTACACAGGAGATCTTGAATGATCTAAAAATCAAAAGGATATCCTACAAATAGTGGAAACTAATGATCTAAAAAGCAAAAGGATATCCTACAAATAGTGGAAACTAGGTCAAGTTACAAAGGATGAATACAAATACATAACAAAAGTAAGTAAAGGCAAAATTAGATAGGCCAATGTAGAAAGTAAAATCAAACTAGCAAACTAGCTAGAGACATAAAGGGAAACAAGAAAACATTCTACAAATATATTAGAAGTGTAAGCAGGGTCAGGGTAAACTTTATCCTGACATCTAGTGGCGAACTGTGGCAAGTGGTGCAAAGAGACTTCAGGGGCTGAGCCCAATTTTGCATAGACACACCCACCCTGTCTAGTATGTGCCACAGCAGCCCAAATCGTCACTTTGGCCACTGTGGGAGCCCCAGTCTCTCTGTTATTGAGGCAGAGGGGATAAAAGTGTTGTTACCCTGATTATGCGAATCAAGGACAATGGAATGGTGGAACTGTTTATGACAGAGGGATTCGCCATAAACTAAGTAGCACTCGCTACACAAGGGGCATGGGTTCCAAACCCAGTCAAATTGAGAGAGGTTGGGGGACAGGTTTTGGTACTTGGTGGTGGGGCCCTGTCTGAGGGCCTAAACAGCACTGATTGTAGTCCTTCCTTTCTCCACTGTGGAATATCAGAGTTAATTTAGATTCCATTAGGAGTCTAGTTGTGAGCTGTGGAGCTAACTTTGCTGTGGGCCAGTGCTAAGGCTCCTCTGTTATGAGCTGAAATCACTGTGTGCTGTGGACGAGAGCTGAAATCACTGTTGCTGAGCTGTGGACAAGAGCTGAAATCACTGTCGCTGAGGGGAGCCTGGCAAGAGCTGAAATCACTGTCGCTGAGGGGAGCCTGGTGCTGTGCTGCTAG